GCATATATATACAGCAATATCCATATAATGTACATAAATAAAAGGATGACACTTTTCTAAAAAGAATTTTTTTTTTTACTGTTATAAAGGGATAAATACTCTTCATGCAATGTCATTTCGTTAAAAGTGGCATAAAACCTAACATAATAGGACAGCTACTTTACCTCAGAGGAGGGGGGGGCAAGAATACTTCCTCCATGTTCCCCTGCATGTCGTAAACGTTGACTAAATGGGGCAGAGCAAGGGTATTTTCTTCCTACAAAGAGTCAAGGTTGTTAGCTGGCACTGAATCAGTCTTCCCCTTTACAAGATGGAATATGGCTCTTGCACGTAGATAATAGCAAAGCAATATTTAACAAAGGGTGAAAAGATAACCTAATACTGACAAATGAGGCACCAAAAGTTCTTAAAAATCTATGGGCCAAATATGCTTTCAAGCTCAAGCTGATTATCTTGATAGCTAATGCGCCGCTGACTTAAAATATAACAACGCTATATATAAAAACTCGTCAGCCAAATTCAAAATATGAACGCTACTATTCGCATTTAATTTAGCCATTTTCATTACCGATGAAAGTGCTTAGATACAAATTATCTTAAGTAATCATATACACATAGAACAATCACATATAATATGTTGGTTACAATCAAGCACTATTCCTTAAGATCTTCCAATTCCGAAATAAGATTCTGAGAGGAAAATGTTTTAGGAAACTCATTTTTTGAAGGTAAATTGATATTTACAATATAACTAGACCACACAAAGGAAAAATGAAGAGAAACAGTACTGCTACATTAAATTGAAGTCACTATACACTAGTATCCTCAACATTGTCTTCAATATTGTAATAACGATACCCATTACAAATTATTTCAACCTCGGAAAAACAGTGACTTGGCTATATTATTGAGGAATACATATCATATATTTATGATTGTCTTTCACATTCTACTCTTATAAGAGAGGGTTTGAACAGAAAAATGTAACATAAAAAAATGTAATTCAGAATAACTAAATTCATATATTCAAACGTTATCTTCACATAAATAATATGTAATCTAATAATAAATTCTAGTCCAGTACTTCATCAAAAACGTTCTCCTAAGTCCAGAATGACCAGCATGGTAGCAAATTTTTTCCTATGTAATCATATTCATTTCTAGTTTTATATCCCTGATTAACATTATAGCATGGCTACAGTCATATTAACACACTCTTAAAAGAAATATATTCCCAAGATATATCTGTCACAATTCGCTAATCTTGCTTTACATCCTAACGAGGCTTGCTCTCCATTCAGTTACTGCAACGATTTACTATTACATCAGAAACTTTCACTTAACATATACACAGACTGGAGAAAAATACTAGGAATTTTCTAAAAACCACATTCAGATCAATACCTTAAAATTGAACAATGAAACAACCTTGTGATACACTAAATTGTACATATGACTGGTAAAATGCTGTAAATTACAAGAATTTCTACCATTTGACACAAAAAAATTTATTTATAATCCAATCAACCACACGTTCCTTGGTAACACCACTGATCTTATATTTCAGATTTAAGCTTTCGTAAAGTGGTGCACTTTACGTATACTACCTTCAATTGGCAGTATTATTTTAATTACATATATCATCGACACTTTTAGTTTTCAACGCTAGTAATATAATCTTTCTGTCATTCTGTATATACTATTATGACAATTAATATTAAATCTCCTCACAAGCTCTTTAAGGCTTATTTCTAGAATTAAAGCTTAAGATTCTCTCAATACACAAAGTATTTTATCATTACGAGATAGTACAGACTATATAAAAAGCTACTCTAGACTTTGTTATAAATGCCCGTTAATTATAAGCACCCCAGGTGGTAAACTGTATAACCAATATGTCCAAGTGAGTTCAAGAGCAAATTATATAACACCACCAAATTGGCAATAATAAACAGGCTTTACACACTTATTTAGAGCTACCATAGAGCAGCAATACAGCTACGTGCACAACCAACACAAAAGTGCTCTCAACTATTATGCAATGACTTAGCATGACACTGCAGCGTGCAAAACAATATTTCCACAAAAATACACACAATGCAGGCAACAACGTGCATGAGTTTATATCTTTTACACACATCTGTACATTGCTATTCCTGAAGTCCTTACACTACATATTCTATGGTATTAAAATAGTACTAATAATAATACAACATTCACGTTCACTGTTATCACGTATATCAGACACACTGCAAGCACAAATAAAGTTTATGTTAGCGAGTGCTCCAACACATTGTGCAATATCAGCAAAAAACCATGAAAATTTACGGTGACCAAACACTTGTGAAGCGCACAGTTCCAAAATTGAAATTAGTTATTCTTTTAGGTCTAGGCTTCAAGCTTTTGAAACTACATGAAAGTCAACAAATTACTTCAAGACGACATGACTGTTAGTCATAACATCAGGCCCTTTGGCAATAGTTTCTCAAGCAGCCAATGTAAAAAACTAACTTGCAGTTATTGTACTGTATTCAGTATACGACGCTACTGTAGAAGCATCAAATTGTCACATCTAAGGCGGATGACGCTTAGAAATCGATACTCTAGACAGATATGGGCTTTCCAAGTCTAAGTACCCATGGGAAAGTTTTCATAAATACATAAAAACATCAAATTATTCCCTACTAAGCTTACAGAAATGAAAACCAATGTGCTTATTATACATGCACAAGTGCAAAAAACCAGGTCATTTGTAAATAAGAATCTTGTAACAGAAAATAAGATTATGAATTACAACGCCATAAATTAGTCATTTAGTCCAAATCTAAAATAGTTTTCACTGACATATTTCAATTCTATAAAAAACTAAAGAAAATGCCATCAATATAGCTCTCCTAGTGCAGTGCCCCATATCTAAAATGCTTGTATGAGGTTTTAAACTCAAACCAGGTCACGCATTTCCCTCAAGTGTCCAAAACATTTGACATTTCAACACTAACTCTTAGGAAAATGGAGCAGCAACCCAAGCATACATTCAATATTTCTAGAATAATTGTAGATCACCAACAGTTTCTAGCAAACAAATTCACTGGCAACCACTTTGCCAGTTATAATAACCATATGGAAATATTTCGAAAGAAAATGTCAACTCCAGTATCATAATGTTTGTGGACAAAGTGTTATTAAAACCTACTAAAACACTTTATATATACCACCATGCATACATCCCTCTTCTCACAACATTCAACAGTTTCATCACTTCCCACGTAAGTCGAAAGGGGAATCGAGTCAAAACCCTTATATAAATGTTTCTATACTTTGCATATAATCTATTCCCAACCTCTTGTATACTTTAAATTATGCCTTTAAAATCTGCCAAATAATATTTAAAACTTATGTACAGTAAAGTATAAATGGTTTTTATATAAATTCTTAAGAAGTATATCCCTCCAGTGGTCTCACCATTTTATATACATATTCTATCGTACAATATGACAAAAAGATACTACTTAAAAGACTTGCAAAATTTAATAAACAATAACCAGTTGAAAGTTACCCATAGATATACAATGCATACTAAAGACTGAATGATTCTAGCACATACTTTCTTAAATTTTTACCATATTGGTAGTTATGCAATATATACTTTTTTCATAGCAGAATGTAATATATATTTAAATATGATTATTAAGCGATATATGATGTTTTCCATCAATAAAATATCATATCCTCTATACATAAAATATGTAAGTAAACATACATCTAAAGAAACATTTACATGATAACTGTGTAATAATATTGAAGTGCAAGCTCTAAAATATCACAAACAACAGGCAAGTTATAATGGCAAGATCAAGTCAATCAGTCTGACAAATTATAGGCATAAGAGTTTCTGTCAGTAGCTACAGTGACAAATAAGGCTAAATACTGAGGGAAGCAAATAGGGGATAACATTACATATGTAGAGAAGAAAATCAGGACAAGTGGAAGTTGGTATATACCTGTATATAGTCATTTAGTTTTGTATTTTTCTTCATGCACTAGACAGCAGGCAGTTTTGCTCTTATCAAGACTGGCTCGGATATATAAAGTAGAAAGTGAAGGCGAGTGATACAGATAAACGTAATTTCGAATAAGAAAACTAAAACAAACACGGAAGAGAAGGGCAAGTGTCATAGTGAATAGCAATATTGAAGAGCCTATTCGTAGGGAAGACAGATTAAAGGGGCATGGAAGACGTACATAGAGTGAGTTTCAAAGTCTAGCGGGACGCATGAATAAAGAAATACACACTTACACGGGACATTTTCTAAGCTATCGTAATGGATAGAAATGCTGAAATGCAATTTCAGCATCCTGAATCAATTTCTTAAATAATATAACTGTGAAATGAGGACAGTGTGCAGACATCCATATTAACAATGACAAACTAAGGACAGCAGCAGCTGAAGAGATGATACAGTAAACATCAGTGAATATAAACACAAAAAGCTGAAAAATATCTATTACGGTTACTGTCAAGCACAGTAGGATTGCAATAAAAACACCTTTGCAATCAATACAATTAAGCCCCCCCCAGCTACGAATTCCAATTTCTCTATATCAATGCCATGCCCGAATTATGATACTACAGTATACTTTTCTTTCTTAATTCACAAATTCTGCTCTTTTGATCGGAAAAAAAAAATAATAATTAAATTAGCTTATGTACAGTAAATATAACTCTGTGACATACAGCTGCAGTGAACCACATTTATGATGCAGCAGCCAAAAAAGGAAGACTAAACGAAAGGCTTAAAACACCGTTTCCTGTTTGGTACAGATGACTTGTCCAACTTGAAGACAAAGAATATATTTCATATACATTTAAGAATGGTCTCATTAATGATCAAAATGGGTAAAGCTTAAAATACCTTACATAACCACTAAAATCTTGCATTATTACACTGCATGAGGAAACACCAGATAAAACTGTGAATTAAATATTCTGCTATTTTCTGAATTTTGTGGCAAAGTGGTAATGCTCACGACTTTGATTCATAAAGTTGTGGGTTCGAGGCCCACCACAGTCTGTCTGAGGCTAGAAAGGCATTCACTCAGAGTGGCGGTCACACTTGCCAAAACTAAAGTCCTTCACAAGAATGCATCATCCTAGTCTTTAGTAGAAGAGGAAGTCTTGTGACGTAAAACCGATTACACTATTTTCTTAACTTTATCAAACGATTATACACATTATTCTGAGATAAAGCATACAACTTATTAGCAAAGGACATCAGATAATAATAAAAAATAATAATTCTTTTGGATCTACACAGAAAAAAAATAAAAATATAAGAATTATACCTTAAAAAAAATTAAGTGACATTCAAGTGTGCAATAAGATTTTACATACAAAAATTCTGTAATTTAGAGATAGCAACACTACCCATTGCTAAACTAGTTATCAGATTTTAAACTGTAAGTGATGACACAAGAAAGCACTGAAGGTTGAGGGTAGCCATCAAATTAAACACTATTTATTAACAGAAAGGCCACAAAATGCAATTTCACTCTATATTACCGATAATATTCCCGTAATTCTGGAAAGAATATGGTATTACTCAATCTCTTATAAGTAAAGAAAACATGCTGTTCTTGATATTTAAAAATATGCCAAGTAAATTGTTGTGCATTAGTATATATCGAACTTTTACAGGCAAGCAGGCGCAAGTTCCTTAATAAATGCTATGTTAGGCACTTCCATTCTTCATCAGTGGTCTCCATATATATATATACAATCCATTCTACACGCGATTTTATAAATTATTGGTACCTAGTAAACTTTTGAGGGAAATCTTGGCGTTAAGATTAAAACTATTTACCATATTTCAAATGGAGATACTTCTTAATTCAGTTACCCTATCTTTAAAAACCTAATGAACAATGTTCATTTCCTACAGACTCCAACAGGATAATAATCTGTAAAACAGGGACTGAGGCAGCAGGGATTCTTCCCTCAAATGTACACCTACATCAGATTAAGGAGTATGCATGTTCCTCCCCCCAAAAAAAAAATCGATATCAGTAATATTTGCAATTCATCAATGCCCTACATTATCTCCTATTCCAGTTTTTAGTTTAGTGAACATAAGTGTTAACATTTCTATACAGATCTTACACTACTGATCCTATCACATCCTATTCTTTTGATTTTACAATTAGACACTGCAAAAATCTGGTTACTGGAAGATTTAGCTGCTTCTCCCCACAATTCCCAACTTCAACATAAATGATTATCGATAATTAAGATAAAGAAAGAAAAAAAATTTCTATAAGTTATTCACACAAAATAAATAAGCTAAAAGATAAAAGGAAAGCATGAAATACCTTACTGACACAAATATATTATAGAATATCTTATCAATATTTAGTTCTTTTATAACACAAGCCTATAAATAAATGCAAATCCTGACCAAAGATTAATCAGTCATTAATAATCCAAAAGACCAGGTTTAATGAATCCTAAAAGGGTATAATTTTGATCTTAATAGTATTCTATATCAATAATAAATTGCCTCTTATCTGTACAAAATTCTAACTTAGCAAAGATCACACTCCTCATTATGCCATCCACATACCAAAGTAGGGCATACATTGAAATGTTACACAGAAAGATTAGTAAAGGCCACTTTAGTCGTGGCCAGGTTGGTAGCATGAGCGACTACGATGCGTCAGGTCGTCATTTCAAGATCTGCCACATTCTGAGGTTAGAAAGCACATCCACTCAGGGTAACAGTCGCAATTTGCCAAAACGAAAGTCCTTTGAAAGACGGCATCGTCCTAACTCTTAACAGAAAAAGGTAGTCCATGATGTAAAACCGGCTCATCATCATCACTTCAGCATCTATATGCATTTCATTCTTACTTCAAGATTATTAACATACAGTAAACAGATTAGAAAGATTTTGTTTCATAAGCAAACACGAGATTATACTACTAACTCGTCACTTCTTAAGCAACAGGAAAATAAGCATTTCCTGGAATTCCTTTAAAAATAAGCAGTCCTTAAATGAAAAATTAGTGATCTATACATATAATATATATACTATAAATTGCGGCCTATATGTTCACCAAAATTTTTTTATTTTTTTTCAAATTCATATTTTGGTTTGTACCTTTTATGAAAGTCAATCCCTTCATGCGACATAAACATTACTAAACGACAGAGCATTTATCATAAAAAAATTTAACTTTCTAAAAATTTTGAACATCAAATTTACAAACCACTGAACCACAAATTTTGTTCAAATGGCATATAGTCGCGTCCATCAATCATCTCTGACTTACAGTTGTAACGCCTTTGAAAAGCAGAACTACCATCTTATCTGCATCCATCTGCAATAAACAAGCCTGTTGGTCACACTGCCGCAACCAGGCAGCAAACTGTAAAACTAACAGTCATAATCATAAAACAGAAATTTTTTTATGGCTATTTGAATGTAAAAGTGCTGCACTTCATTAATGTACTATGAGCCAATGGATATGCATGTTGTCAAGAGCAGATTTCTAGTTTTTACGCATTTTGAAAAACTTATCACGTCATATGGTGTTACATGTATATTATATAGTTTTAAATGGTGATCAATATTGCACAAATTAATGGTATATCCCCTAACTAAAGGAACAGATAATTAAAAATTATGCGCATTTCTTCACAATATTCACCTAATTATTAAAATAAAATACCAAGAAGAAAAACGAGACGACTTGGCCACTTTTTTCCAGCTGAGTGTATACTAGGTACTTCTGTAATTAGATCAGAATGAATTACAGTAAGAGTGCTACTATTACATGTTCCTTACCACATACTCTTATTCCTGTACTCGTATTTCATAAATTTATCCCTATTTCAACCACTAAATCAATCTAGAATTTTACTAGTAACAATATCATGCTAACAAGTTCGACAAAAAAGTCAAGGACTTCAAGATGACTAACAAACGTTAAATGTATGATATATGATAATGAAATATATCCAGAACTAACAAGATGAAAAAAAAATATATATATACCAGTATATGTATAAAAGCTGCCAAATTGTACACCCAACAGCAGTTACTTTTCATATGACACTATGCAAAATTTCCTCAATAATCTTGAACAATACTCTGAAAGCCACAACAACATTTCTGTAATTACACAGAGCTAATAGAAATAGCTTCCTTCTGTTTTCTATTATTAAGAAGAGCTATTTTATAGCTTTAATTTCTAGAATTTCAGAAATTGAAAGTTATTGTTTAGAACATTCTCTACTAGAGGTACTAAGAACATTCAAAAGTTTGCAATTTTTTTTTTACATTCTATAATTAAAGAATAGTACCTTCATGCATCACACTTATGATTTTCTAGACTTGAATCTACCAGTAAGGACGGTCTACCATGTGTGCGTATATTAGCCTTGGTTTTACCAGCTTCTGCTTGAGTGGCCATTCTTGATTTCATGTATACAGCCTCCAAGTTAGTAGACTTTCTTGAAGGGTCCCCGGGCCCCAGCGACTTGGATCTCACGGGGGGTTCCGGCTTACGTCAGGAGGTCAAACTCTGCTGATGTACTTTCGCCGATAAGAAGGTGTGAAGGATAAAGACAAATGGCTTGGGGTTCGTTTTCAAGTCAAGTTCCTGAATATAAATAAAAAAAATTAATACATGTGTGATTCCTAGTGATTCAGTTAACCTCCTATAAAAAAAAAATCTTATTGGCAAAGAAATCACATGTAAATAACACATGTTTGAATGGTTCTTCATATCAGGTTAGATGCATTTCAAGGAGTGGTTTCCAAAAAGACTGGGGTGTGTTCAATATATTCAAACATCAAATTTAAAATACACTTGTTTAGACTGGCGAGGCAAGCTGATGTATTTTTCCAAGAAAGAGAATGAATTGTAATTCATAAAATACAAGAAATGAAATAGTAAAATTTACATAGTACAGTACTCTACAGTGTAGAATTATGATAATCATATATATCTGAATATGAGACATCAGGAATATTAAGGGAATAAATATTACATAGCATTCTACAATGCAGAACAAAGATGATCTTTAATATTCGAATATAAGACTATTTTACTGATATATTTACAGGTGATTACGAGTTTATAGATATTTTACAAGTTCCACCACCTTTAGACAGGGGGTCAGGTGGTGATACAATTTAGCTCCAAAGCCATAATTATTTCAAAGTAGACCTAATGACAACAGTGGTTAATGCAATCCATTTCAGAGGGTATCAGTGACAAAATGCAATAATGTCAATCTAATTAAATATTGCTGTTAAGTTAATCCCCAGTAAAAATAGTTCTTTGCAGGCCTTGCAGCAATTTAACCAAGAGTAATTAGTATATTCTGACAGTTAAGCAAGAGTATTTAGCTTAGTATGTTTAGGCTTGCTTGACTCTTCTAATTAAAGAACATCATGATCTGGTTTTATGTCACGGGCTCCCTTTTCTATTAAGGGCTAGGACATTGCCTTCTTTCGAAAGAGTTTGGCTTAGGCAAGTGCGGCTGTCACCCCTGAGCGAATGCCCTTTCTAACCTAAGACCATGGCAGGTTTTGAGTCGACAACTAGAAGAATCAGAGTCGTGCAAACTATATATCCAGCCATGGCGGTCACAATTTAAGAACAATAATATGAACAGTAAACAGAGCAATATATAATACACTACCACTTCCATATCTCCATCAAATCGCAACCAGATAAGTCGAGCTCCATCGTCTGAACTCATGAGTAATTTGTGGAAAGCTTGAGTCCATAGCACTCTGCCTCTGCTACCTCCAGCATCATGCGTAGAAAGCAGAGTGAATCCTTCTTCGTGATGGAGTATTAATTTAGCTTCGACTCCTCTCCATTCGCAGTCTGAAAAGCATATTTAAAATATTCCAATAAACTGGTAAAAGCGGATCTATCATCTCAACATGTAGTAAATTGGCTCATGGCACCAGCCGCCCGCTGCGATACTCCAGCTGAAGGTTTTTTTGAACTTACATAGGTCTGTCCGTGACAATTCGATGTTAAGTCTTCCTTCAGTTAC